CTATACGAAGAGCGGTGTCCGGCTTGGGAGGCTTACCGGAAGAACCAAGAATGGGGAACCATCCGGCTATCAACTCACCGGAGGCAATTTCCTGTGCAGGAATACTGACAGTTCCCAATAGCTGAGCACCAAATAAGTCGTCGTCTTTGACTCGAAATTCCAAATACTCCCACGGGGTGTGCCAATGGGATACTGAATCGCTCGTTCCACTGAGGGTCCGGCATATTCTTTATCACACGCGTCCGGGCAACAGTAGACTGCGGCACCGAGACGGTGACGTATGAGTCGCTGTGATAATGCTCCGAATGCGACGACGGTGAGTCTTCCGGTGGCCAGCATCCGAGGAATGGAACTTGATATTGTCACAGGCGGTGATGCAACGACGGAAATGCTCAGAGAAAGCATCCATGTTGGGCAAGTTTCGGGCCTCAAAGATGGTCAAGTACAGGTCGCCGTGAAGATAGCTAATTCCCGTCTCGCCGTGTAACCGTTCTCCGACATTGTTCCTGGATTTTGGATTTTCAATGCTGACAAAAGATGTGAATATGGTTTCTGGTTTATGATTACATGTACATCGTCTACATGTCGCGGGCACGTTGCGCCTCGGTGGCGCCCTCACTCATTTTTGGGGAATTTTTTAAAACTTCTCCACTGTTCTCAATACGCACTATTTTATTTTATTTTATTCTTCTAATACAGTATTTTATTTTATTGTTAAAAAAATGTAATTGTAATTCTAGATTAAAACAATTCTTGGTACATTCACACTCTTGTTTGGCGTTCAATAATATTAATAAATAAAATACAGTAATCTCCTTTCATTTTATTAAGAATACAGAGACTTGTCATCTATTTTAAAATCTGCACTTTAATCCAACATTTACTATCAATAAGAATATTTCACTCAAAATTTTAAAATATTTAATTTTTTTATTTCTAATTATTTAAAATTATTAATTTTCTCATAGAGTATGATTTATTTATCTTCTCTCTCCCAATTTTAAAAAAATAAAAAAAATTAAGCATGTCTTAAAAATTAGGTTACATGTAATGAAATTTAAATAAAAATAAACGTAAATTATATTGAGTAATTTATTATTGAATTCTTATTTCATAATTTTAACCACATTTTTGCATATTATTTTTTCAATTTATGCATTTAATGTTTAAAAAATTATTAAATAGAGACAATTGTATAATTAAAAATTTTAAAATATAGTTTATAAAAAAATTGAAATATAAATAAAAATTAAAAAAATATATAGGCAGTAATTTTAGGTATTTTGAATTATTTTTATCCACAGAAAATATTTTAATTTAATATTTGTGACTTAACTGTGTATTAGTGATTGAATAGATGAAAATAAAATATTAAAAATAAAAGAAATTTTCATATATTTATAATTATTTATATTAAAAATATTTCTATAGGTTTTAAAAATAATAATCTCCGTAATTAAGATAAAAAAGAGGAAAGTTCTGCATATTTTACTATGTTAATAACTGCTACAGTTTTTGTAACAAAAAAAAAGAAAGAAGGAAAGAAAGAAAACAACAACAACAGTTCACATACGGTGGAACACTGCGTAGAAATATCAAATAGTCCAATATTTCTTTTCAGAGGACAGTATGAAAATTTCGGCGAGGAATTAAATTTTAAGATGAAAATGTGGGGTTCGAGAGGAGAATTAAACTAATGACAGCATATATATTCATTTTATTCCGTTTTAAAATCTATTATATTATTTGTCACATATTAATATTATAATATATGGTATATAATACAAAATTTATAATAAATCATATTATTTATAGCATATAGTATCATTTTTCGAACATGTACTAACTATATAACACTTAAGCAGCGAATAATATAGTTTATTTTAATTTTATGTAAATCTGAATAGATAAAACCTTGATAAAAAGGGATAAAACCCGCCCTACCTACTAATGAAAGAAAGAACTCCCTTTATCTTAAATTATAAATATTTTTAGATAAAATTTCACGTATCAATAAATCTCATTAAATACATTTAACAACTTTATTTTTTCAAAATAAAAATATAACTTTTAAAAATACCTTTCTTTCATTTGATAACTTTAAATCTACATTTAATTAAAATTAAATAGAGGGAGAAAGGATAACATTAGAATAAGCTTATTTAATATAACAAATATTAATCTTTTCAAAATGTTTTATATTTTGTGATAACAAATCTTTTTCAAAAGTGCCTTATAATTTGATATTGATAGAGTATTATTTATTTTTTTTAACAGCAAAATTTAGATACTAAAGACATTTTGACTGATAGAGTTGTTTTCTATATTTGACAACTGGATTTTGTATGTATTTTACTTTCTCTGAAACTTAAAATAATTGATAAATTTTTTAATTTAAAATATTTGATATAAAATTTCTGTGGCTTGGTTTGAGAATCGAGTCTAGAGGATAATGCCCCTTAAGTGTTTGACAAGCATACTTTTAGAATAAACACTCGAAAGAGTGACTAAAATCAAGTAATTGTATGGGTTCTTAATATCTTTTACTGTGATTTTCTTGGAGTGTCAAAGATGTACAAGAAACAAGGATACACCAAGTGACGCATGAAAGTCTATTGCATTGTAAAAATGCAAGTTCAACTAGTGCTCCATCAAACGGAGGGAAACAAAGTAAGGACTAGTTTGGGAATCCTAAGCTAATATGAACAAAATGAGTCGCGTTGGCATTCTTGGGTAACATTGGGTTAAAAAGTCGAATCTTTGCGTAGGACAAGTTGAGTTGATTTTGGGTTAATTGTGCAAAACGTCGAGAGATCATAAGTTACATGCTTGCGGCCTACTTATAGAGGAAAACAGCTGTGTGCTCTTTCAATTTGAATTTTGGCACTTGCAGATAACAAGTAACTTTTCGCACCACCACCTTATTGCAAGGTAGCAAGTAAAGTTGATCACCTGAATTTATTATGATTTGTTTTATGGACAGACCGAGAAGAGCAAAGAAGACGAGAATTGTCCTAAAGAATCAAAGAAAAAAAAATTATAATCCTCACGCCTCACCACGTTATTGTAAGGGAAATATTGAAAAGAAAGAGTTAAAATCTATTCCATTCTATACAACTACTCTTATTTTATTTAAAAGTCATTTTTAATATATTTTATCAAAATTAAAAAAATTTTAAATTTTATTAACTTTGACTTAAAATTTAATAAGTTTTCATCTCTACCCCAAATAAAAACAAAAAAAAACTATTTTTAATGATTTTTTTGACATTTAATAAATACATAAATTGTAAAAATAAATATAGAAAATAGTAAATTGCTTTATAAATAAAACTAAAATTATACTCGCAACATTTTGTTCTATTCTGCTCTATTACATACCACTAATAATTATTATGTTCCATTTAATTTCATCCTAACCTCCAGAAACACCCTTAAAGTTATACTTTCATCGTGCTGTTATAAAAAAATAAAATAATATTAAAACCTAACAACCTGCATATTAAATTTTGTTGTCCTCCTCGCATAAAAAAAATTATAATCCTCACGTCTCATCACGTTATTGCAAGGGCAATATTAATAGGAATAAGTCACAATCTATTTCGTTCTATAAACTACAAGGCAACATTAAAACACCCTTAAAGTTACATTTTCATGGTGCTGTTATAAAAATAAAATAATATTAAAACCAAACAACCTGCATATTAAATTTTGTCGTCATTCTCGCATAAAAGGAAGTAACGCACTTGATCTGGGGCAAAATATTGTACCCGGGTGAACCTTCAACTAGACCCCTCACAGAAACAGAACACAGCTAGCCCGAACCCGAATGCCATAACCCTGTTCTCTAAAATTACCATGTCAAAAACTGCCGTTCTCAGCCGAACCCTCCTAATAGTTCCCGGGGAAGAAGTCAAGAGACATTTTTTGCGGGGTTTGCATACTTCCCTTGTGGCGACTAAAGGAAAGCATCAGTCTCATTGGGAAACGGTTCTTTTAGGCGAAGTGAAACTGATATAAATGTACAAATAATATTCAATTTTGATACAATAGAGAACTCATTCAGCGTTAGCGACGACATTTGAACCTTGCACTGAATATTTAAATTATTCAGCGGGTACTGGTACACACTTTTGTCCGTGTTCAAATACCATAGGATCAAACAGACAAGCATGTATAGATCGCTCTGCCAGTTAAAAAGTTGTAGCCCAAAAAACAAATGCCTTGATGAACTTGATATTTCCCAGCAACAAATGCTGAACTAACGCAATCATGCTCATCTCTTAGAAGGGTAAAGCTTGAAACATCTCAAAGGACCCAGAAAGGCTTTGCTACTCAATCCCCTGCGCGTAGCCTAAAGTGGCTCTTTCACATTGACAATTGCCAATTAGTCCTGATATCTACATTTTGCGGCAAATTGACAAATGTTATATATATTAATTGCAATAAATCAAAGTCGAAATGCAGAAAAGAAATACACCGATGGAATTATTCTTGGGCCTGATCAAGGAAAATTTATTCAAAGCACATACTCTTTCATTTTGTGTCCCGACACCATACAACTTCTTTGGACCTATCTTGTACGAAGTTCTATCGAAATTTATCTCGTCTCCTTTCCACCATTATATTGGGAAAAAAATTAATGTTCGGTAACTTTTTATCCTGACCTGACTGTTATGAACACTTCCCGTACATTTTGAATGTTGAATTATATTATGGGGAAACAATACTCAATTAAAAAGATCAATTTAATAATAGTTAAATTTTCAAAAAAAAAATTGTCGAAAGCTGAGTTGCAATATCAATTTAGATAGTTACAAGGAAAAACACAATCATTGATCTCTGTAGTTTCATCAAATTTTGCTTTTAATAGTCCCTATAGTTTTTTCAATATTTTCAATCCTTATAATTTCAGCAACATTGGATGACATTTGTTACTTAAGTCCCTAACGATGTTAAATTAAAGGAACTATAAGGACTGAAAATAAATTATAAGGATTAAAGTAAAACTCAATAAAATTATAAGGACAAGTAATTGTGTCACTCCTAGTTACAAATATGGGAGGGTTAGTTGCGAATCAATCATTTAAGTCTTGCAGGTCACTCTCAATGATTTGCTACTAATACTCCCACATTTACAAGGGTATCTGGATCCATATTCGGAATTTTATCTTTCAACAAAATTTTTAAAACCTGTCATTAAATTAATCTTTTGGGGCCCAAGTGTCATTCCCCCTTGTTTTAGTGCTTTCTGTTTACCCGAATACACCATGGGGTGCAACACGTTCATTAACATAAAAGCTTAAATTCGCAGTCTAATCTCACTCCAATAAAGCTCTCTAAAGCAGTTATGCACCTCAGCGAGAACTCCGATCATCCTTGTCACTAGTCTGTGGAGTGTACTGGCTGGTAGATGATGGCGAGTACCCAGGCTGACTCGGCGAGTAACCAGTACTGGGACTGCAAAGTATCCCATAAAATCAAAACAGTCATAAATTGATCACACTTGTGGATCACTGTGACATTGAAAAACAAAGAATAGAAATGCTCACCTGAATTGTGGAGAACTTGGGCTATAGTCCGGGCTTACACCAGAATTATATGGGCTAAAAAAACAAAGACAAAATATGTACCGTCAAACACCAGATTTTGAACTATTCAACTCTCCCGCTTTCATGACAGATTAAACGTAGAGATAGAAGTCAGGATAAATAGCAACTTCCATGTACAATAATAAGCCAACTGCTTCATGAGCATAGATCATAAATGGAGTTGACTTACCTGCTGGGGCTGTATGTTGGGCTTGATGGTGAATAAGATGGAGATGTTGGTGAATATGATGGTGAAGTAGGGCTGGACCAAACAAAAAGACAAGCTACTCAGTGGAAAGCTCTAACACGATGAATTAGCAATTGATTTATATTTTAAAAAAAAAAGTACAGCAATTACACACACACACACACACACACACACACACAGGATCAACCAACTAGCTAACAATTAAATAACTTGAAATCAAGAGACAAATCAATGATATAGAATCCAGTTATCATTCAAAAGTTCTATATAAACCATTTAGTATGAAATACTTTATAAGTCCAAAGATGACTCGCCTGTAATTTGGGGACGTAGGACTGTAAGGACTTGATGGAGATAGCCTTGGACTGCTTGGGGAATAAGCCAGTGACGGGCTGTACCTTGCTGATTGTGGATTGTAACTAGGGGAAGTGGGGCTATAACTTGGTGAGGTAGGACTGTAACTAGGTGATGTTGGACTGTAGCCAGGAGATGTGGGGCTATATGCTGGGGATGTTGGGCTATATGATGGGGATGTGGGGCTGTAGGATGGGGAAGTTGGGCTGTAGGATGGTGATGTTGGGCTGTAGGATGGTGATGTTGGGCTGTAGGAAGGGGAAGTGGGGCTGTAGGCAGGGGAAGTGGGGCTGTAGGCTGGGGAGGTGGGGCTGTAAGCTGGCGAGGTGGGGCTGTAGCTCGGTGAGGTGGGGCTGTAGCTCGGAGAGGTGGGGCTGTAGCTGGGTGAGGTGGGGCTGTAGCTTGGTGACGTAGGCGAATAAGAAGGGCTTGTAGGTGAATATGCAGGACTAGTTGGACTATATCCTGGAGAGCTAGGACTGTAAGTAGGAGAGGGTGGGGCTGTAACCAGGTGACGTGGGACTGTACCCAGGTGACGTGGGACTGTACCCAGGTGATGTGGGACTGTACCCGGGAGAGGAGGGACTGTAACCTGGTGATGATGGGCTGTAACCAGGAGAAGAAGTTGGGGAGAACGCCATTCCACCAACATAAGGAGAAAACTGTGCATCAGTAGTAGGTGACAGCCGCAGATTAGGGCTCAGCAAATAACTTGGTGACATCATGCCTTCATGATAAGGAGTTCCTGAGATGGGGGATCTTGCAGGTGTCATGCCAAAATCAAGACCTTCCATGTAACTAGGTAGCTGGAGCTCTATAGCATTCTTCAGCATCTCGTCGTTGAGATACAAGGCACAGCTTCCAGTTCCAATGGGGGCAAGCTGGCCTAACATAATATTTTCAGTGACACCCCTCAAGTAATCAGACTCAGCATATACTGCAGCATCAAGGAGAATATCCACCGTCTCTTCAAATGAAACACCTCATCATTGGTCCAGTGTCATTACGATTAATGCCATGACGAGTTATTGCCATCAAATGGCCACGATAAGTCATGGTATCACAAAGAATAGCCAGATGCCGGTAATACGAGCCATAAAGATATAACACATTGCTCATCATTAAATATACAAGTCAAATCATCGTCAAATTCAGGTTGATCTTTTCAGCAATGTCAGCCATACTTAACTTCTTATCCACCATCATTTCTCGATTTAATTCTATGCGAAGTAACCAAGGAGATATTTTTTCAGGGAAATTTCTTCATCTGGCATTTCATAGTAGGATTTCACAAAATCAACATCCTCTTCGATAATTGTGCTCATTGGGTCTGGATCATACCACACTTCTGTGGCTTGTGTAACACTCCTAAGAGTAGTGTATTCCAAGGCACATTGAACATTCTTTGCCCTCTCTTTTGTCTTACTGACCTCAGGTTTCAGGTAGACAGAGAGAGAAGGTGTTTTGATTCTTTTTGCTACATTAATGATTTCCCTCAACCTAGGAACACCCAGAGTAACGTTCTTAGCACTGACACCAGCATAGTGAAAGGTGTTCAGAGTCATTTGAGTGGCTGGCTCACCAATAGACTGAGCTGCAACACAGCCAATCATTTCTCCAGGGGCTACAAGTGACTGTAAGAATCGGGATTCAATTTCCCCCACAACCCACTCAAATGCCTCACGAGAAAGCCTGTATTCCTCTAAGACCCTCTTACTAGCAAAAGTGCTACGGAGGAGAATGTTGAACAGGAGAGTTGCATTCTTTTGAGCTTCTTGACTCAAGAGATCTTCACCAGGAACAACCTTCAATCTCTCTTGGAGCTTATCAATGGCTTCAACAATTTCCATAGGATGCATATCTGAAGGCCTTCGGAAATCCACCTTGAATGTCTTCTGAGCATTCCAGATCAGTCTCTTCAGATTTACAGGTAGGGGCAGAGAACTATCACCAGAAGTTACTATCTCATTTGCAAGCTGGTATCTGTCTGCTTCAAGCTTTTGAACTTCAGCTTCAAACACATTCCGGAATTCTCTGATGGTTTTCAGGTCTTCTACAGGTTCTTCAAGCATATAATTAGGTTTCCAGTTTTCATCATCAAACTCATACCTGAAAGACTTGTCAAATTCTGATTTTTTCATTTTTAATGAATCCAACTTCTGTGTTTCTATCCAGACAGCATCCATACCGTCTTCTCCATACAGAAATTGAATAACATCTCCCAACGAGTTCCTAACTGTACCATCATATTTAACCATAATATCCTCCATAGCCTTTACAAGTCTCCTTTGAATGTACCCAGTTTCAGAGGTCTTAACTGCAGTATCGATAAGACCTTCCCTCCCACCCATGGCATGAAAAAAGAACTCTTGAGGGGTTAGTCCACGAAGGTATGAGTTCTCCACAAAGCCACGGCTTTCAGGCCCATAATCATCCTTTGTAAAATGGGGCAATGTCCGATCTATGAACCCATATGGAATTCGCTTACCCTCAACATTCTGCTGGCCCACACAAGCAGTCATCTGAGATATGTTAATGAAACTTCCTTTTGAACCAGCCGTAACCATTGCTTTCAGATTATTACTCTCGGACAAACTTTTCTGTGCACTATTTCCAGCATCATCACGAGCTTTATTCAGTGTCTAAGAGTATTCCACAAAAAAACTAACGAACATTAGGCTCAACTGAAGAAGCAAGAAAATTTAATAAAGCAATGCAATACAATGTGAGCACCTGATTCACTCTATTTTCAAAGGATTCCATCATTGTTCGTCCTGGTTCAGCCTCCAACTTTTTCTCCTGTGCATCCCTAATAAGCCTTTTCACCTCCTCTTTAGCATTAGCGATAGTCTGATTAATAGTCTCCATGGTTGCAGCATCTGCAATTGTGTCGCCAATTCCAATCGTAAAACCATTTTGCAAAAGCCAATAGTTGACAAGCCACTGAGTATGACCAAGGAATTTACGAGCTGCATCAGGGCCAACCTCCTCCCTGTATTCAAAGCAGACATTCAGTAAACAAGAGAAAGAATACAGGAAAAGTTTACTCAAATAGCCGCTGAGAACCACAAGCTTCAATAATATTTTTATAAAGAATATTCCACGATATAACAAGCAATCTTCTTAGAAGATGGATTTTCATCAACACCCCAAATTCATCAATGTTAGGCTTGGGAAGTTGACCCAAAAACTTGTTATTTCTAAAGAGGTTGTAGCTGCAGATATGATCTTAGTTGTTGTATTCAGAAATGATGTAAGCTATAAATGCTATAACAATAATTATATACGTAAATTACATACCAAATGACATGTACAAGACTTCCAGTAGATGTTCCAAGCGTCTTTTTACAAAGAGTTCCAGTAAGTAATTCCCCTTTCTCTATTCTGACAAGGGTATCACCTGGAGTTGCATACCCAGATTCACCTTCTTGGTGCCAGCTTGACTGTCTAATGAGATTTATTTGTTTTGGTATGATGAGATTGAAAACTTGCTTTCCAGTCCACAATGGCTCTGGCTTCAGAATTGCTGGAGCTGGCACCTTCCCATCAAAATCTTCCCACCACATCAAAATGTTCATAAAAACATCCTACAAAGAATAGCTTTTATCATACTTCTGAATGGATCATACAACAACAAACAAGTAAAATGCAACAACAAAGAGTTGTCTAAATCAAACCTTTGTGATGAAGGTATCCCTCTTGGTGATTTTTCTGCATCCTAGAAGTGTATCTTGGACAATTCCCATGACTGGCCTATTTGACTGAGGCGATACAATGCACTTAGGCACCATCATGAGCTCTAACACCTCAGCTCTGGTTTCAAATGACTGAGGAACATGCATATTCATTTCATCCCCATCAAAATCAGCATTATATGGTGAAGTAACAGACAAGTTCAAACGGAAGGTAGAATAAGGCATGATTTTGATTCTGTGCCCCATGATAGACATTTTATGAAGGCTGGGCTGACGGTTGAATAGGACAAAGTCTCCATCATTCAAATGACGCTCCACCTAAAACCACATCATTAAAAGTTGTAAGAAGACAGTGAGACTAAAATTTAACCTAGAAGTTAGCCATAGTTTAAAAACGATGCCTTGTATCCAAGCTCCAGATGGTGATCACTACTTTTCTTCAAATATCGAAGATCAAGCCTTTGCCCATCATCTCGAATGATGTACTTGGCACCAGTTTTGCCAGGTGGAGGATGAGGTCCATATTCAACTAGTTCCTTCAACCTGTTTTTTTTTTTTTAATTCCCAATATAAATAATATAACATGTGTATAAAGCAACAAAAAGCATATAATTTAACCTTTCGATGTTATAAGGAGTCACTGTCTCAGGGTACGTAAGATTCAGAGCAATACTCCACGGCACTCCCAATTGATCAATGTTAATTGTTGGATCTGGTGTGATTACTGTTCGTGCAGAAAAATCTACTCTCTTCCCCATCAAGTTACCTCTAATCCGGCCTTCTTTTGCCTTAAGCCTGCTGCATATTGATTTGATAGGCCTACCTGATCTTTGTGTAGCCTATAAGAAAACATAAAATGAATTTAAAAAGAATGTATCATCCTCAAGCATCATAAAATACGCCAAAGGTTCAAGTCAGCATAAAATATATCACCAATAAGTACTAAACGCCTATGTATAAACAATTATACCCTTGGCAACCCAGGCAATTCATTATCAAAATATGTAGCTATGTGAAACTGCAGCAACTGGGCAAACTCAGAAATAATATGTGCAGGCGATCCATTTCTCTCCTGTCTCTTCAAATTCTCATTGTGCCTAATGATCATCGCCAGCTGATGAGTCAAATCATCCTACACAAGACAGAAATAATCAGTATCAACATATCACCAAAAAAAATTACAGTTGGCCAGCAAAAACCACCAGAAATCACTAACAATAGACAGTAGGAAAAGAAAATCAACAAGAACCGAGAACAAGGTGTTAATTAGATTTTAAAAAAAAAAAAGGTGCTTGCCTCACTCCTAGAGGAAGTGTCCATCATTACAGAAGGCCTCACAGGTGGTGGAGGAATAGGAAGAACTTGTAAAATCATCCAGTCAGGACGGGCATACTTAGGATCCAAACCCAACAATTGGCAGTCTTCATCACTAATCCTTTTTAAAACACTAAGAACCTTCAACAGATTCAACAAATCATAATCAACACATATTATTTAGCAGTGGACATATAAGTTCAATAAGTTCAAATCATTACCCTTTCCGCAGTAAGAGTCTGTTTCCTTTCCACAGGTTCAGGAAGTTGTTCCAGGTCATCACTTTTCTTCCTTTGAGCTTTGTACTCCGCAATCATTTTCATACCCTCAATAGTGAGCTTTGGTTGCTGGGCACCGCAGCCACCCCGACTCTTCTTAACTGGTTTTTCAGAGTCTTGAGAATGAACATCAATCTCATCACCACCTTCACATTTGGTTTTGTTTTTACACGCATCCAAAATCTTTTTCAGCCTATTTTTCGGATTCCTTATCCTCAAGGCTTGCTTAAATTTATGATCTTCCTACAGAATGAACAACCAAATCAAAACTTACAATATGGTTAACAGTTTTCTGCACTTAAAACAGAGAATCAAATAAGAAAACACAAAACAAAAGCCTGTCACAATGGAGGTAACAGAATCCTATCAGCGAAAGCAGCAATAGTTACATTATTGTACCATAGACCAACCATGAAAAATCAACCGACCCAACAGAAAGACAAAAATTTAAACTTCCATGATCAAGCATAAGAAGAAAATCACACGTGAAACTGACTTCCTGAGTGTGTGCTTGCCTGCAAGCTTCATACAAAAAATGATGTGTTCGACCATCAAAACAAATGCACATGACTGAGAGCTGACAAACATGGAAACCATCTCATCTGTGCTCATTCATACAAAAGTTTAAGTTGCCAACATTTTGTGAATCAAGTACAAAGTATAAATCGAGAATGGTTTCATGGAATTCAAATTCACGTCCAAAAATATAATGTAGCCGTGCAAAACCCACTTGATCCTTTGTGAAGGTAATCAAGTACCTCATCGGCTAGAATCTTAGAGCAGTTGAAGCAAACACAACGCATAATAGTGAGCACAGTCTTTATGAACCCAATATGAAACATAGGCTTTGCAAGCTCCAGGTGCCCAAAGTGGCCCGGGCACTCTGCCATGTTCGCTGTACACGTTTCGCACTTCATCTTCCTATCAATGGTACCAAGCCGAGGGTCACTCAATCCTCCAATCTTCGGCTTGCCCCTCTCCGTTGTCTCTCCATGTTCAATCTGCACCACAGACATTTGCCTCTGCGCAAGCCAAACCGAGTAAAAATAAGTTCAGAAACTACCTTTGCAACCACACAAATCAATCAGAAACTGAAGATTCTCATTTCCATCGTGTTCCAAGAAAACTTAAAGAAGTAAATACGATAGCGAGAATTACGATCTCATCGGGACTGAGTATGCCGAACTGAACCAGACGGACTTTGGCGACCTCAGCCGGCGAGTAGGGGAACCGTATATCCATGAGGGGTGTTGATCGAGAAGGGAATATATCAGATAGGGTTCGAGAGTAAATGCTTGAAATTAAGCTCAGAACTAAGTTTCGCCAGCACTTTTCTTATGGGTTTTTGGTTTATTTGTCGTTGTTGTACTTCTCAGTTTCCCTCGCTTTCTCGGTTTTAAGCAGCTTCGAGGGGATCTGCTGCAAAATCCTTTCCGCGAGAGGAATTCTCCTCGGGACGAAAGGGCAAGAAGGCAGGCCCGGAGGCCTTATTTATAGACGGAAAACCGCGCAGCCGACCTTAACGATAGCTATCGTACGCCGTATGCGCGCTGTGCCAAAAGTCAAAGGTTTCATCGTTGAGATTACTTCCCACGTTAAAAAATATAAATATTTTTAAATAAATTTTATCATCAATAAAATAATTACATATTTTTAAATTAATTTTATTTTTATATTTATTTTTATTAAATATTTTGTAATAAATATAAAATTTAATAGAAATATTTTTAAAAAAATTATAATGATTATATTTAAAAAAAATTAAAAATATCTTATATTTTTAACATTTAATTTTTTAAAAAAATACTTTATATTTTTTAATAGAGGGAGTACATTCACTCAAAATAATAATAATTACAACAGCAACAACATCATAATAATAATTATAATACATGTTTGCAATATCTAGACTAAATTTGGATCCTCTCATAATTTTTCTCTTCCTTTCTTCTCATCTGATAACATTTAGATCTATTGAGATTTTGCAACAATAAATTCATTTTTGGTGTAATCGTTTCCTTTTCAATTTTAAAAACAAAACAATGTGACTTCTAGTTAATAAATTATTAATATATATTACAAACGTAAAAATTATCATACTTTTTAAAAATTTCATAAATTAAGATATTTTTAATCCTATGAATTAAATTACTCATATTTTTATAAATGCATCCACCTACTCATTAATTGTCTTATTTTTTACCTTTATTTTTTTAATTAATTTCTTTTTATCAAGCAAACAGGGCCTAAATTATAACTAAACAATACTTTTTAAAGAATCATCTGTTAAGGAACTATTTAATCTATGATAAAAGAGGTAACAAGAAGGAATAGATGGATAGTAATGAAAAAGAATTGAATAAGAAAGAATGAAATAATTATGACTATAGATAGATTTACAAGGCAAAGAGGGGTTCTTGCCACCTAAAGAGTCACACATTCTTTAGTAGAAGTTTTTTTTTTCTTTGCAAAATAGTTTAAACTAAATTTTAGCCACCCATTTCTTATTTTATTTTCAATTTGGCCCCCAATCATAAAAGTCAAATCCATCCCTAGTTATGACTATAAGGTATTGTTTGGTTGTTAAAATAGAGCTGATTAAAAAATTAATAAAAAAATGACTCAAATCACCCTTCTACTTCATGACAAATATGATAAAATTTATTAACATATACTAAAAATAGAAAAATCATTACACTTTTTAAAAATCTTATGAATCTTAATTCTTAGTCTTATAAACTAAATTACCGCTCTCATTCATGAATATGACTCACCGTCCTTTTTAACCATTTCATTTTTACCTTTATTTTTCACTTTATTTCATTCAATTATTTTCTAGTAATCAAATGAGACCTAAATTTATTTGATAAGATAACATGTGAGAATGGAATTTATGAATTTTACTTAGAGTATGAGATGAACTAAGTAACCTTTATTTATGCATTTGCCTTTATCATTTTATTTGGCCTTTCTCTAAAAAATAAATATCATGAACATGAAATTACATTTGAACTCTCATCAAAATTCAAAAACTTTTTAAAGAAGAAAATTACTGTAAGTTTTAAAGTATTTTGAAGGGGACATGTAAATAAAATTAAACCTAAGAAAATGGTAATGAAATATTTTTTAAGAAAATATGCTTAAAAAACATAAAACTAACAATCGGAGTGGCTGTTTTTGTCTATATAAAAAGATTGTTAAGACATTTTAGCAAAATAGTTATTGGACCAAGGTGGGTGACATGATTCCTTTTGTTTTTCAAAGGTGGACATTCTTGAAAATATGATAACCCTCGTTCTTGGGACTGGTCATTCATATCTCCAAAAATAATGAAACATGAATAAGGCAATACTTGAGCCATGATCACCATTCTATAACACAATATTGTTACAATCAAATTGTAACATCTCAGTTTTTTTTTTTAATTTTGATTATAGACCCCTCAAACAACAAGCTAGTCCAAAAAATCAAGTGAGATTGAAATAAGATTTCATGATAATTGGAAATAGTTGCTAAATACTTAAAAAAAAAAAAAGAGTAGGCACACGCGCCAAAGGTCCACCATTGATTTTGATCTCTGTGTGTATTATACCTTTACAATGTGGCTACATCCAGCATTTTCTCCAACATTATGAGACGTTATGTGTATTTGGATTAACTCTCCACCTAAGGTTAACTTGGCCCAAACCTTTATAGGGTTAAAAGCTCTTTACTTAGGTTAAAATCTTGTTTGGATTTAAAAAAAAATTAAATGAGCATTTTCATGAAAGCTGGGATGAGTAGCTTTTTAACGTAATGTGGGGGTGGAGCGTTGGGATATTGCAAATTTTTTTCTCTCTCCTCACATCTTTACTTTCAGATTGCTACTCCTTTCTCTGCCCAACCTCCCATCGTCACGAGCGCTGTCTTCACCTCCTTCTTGCCGCCGTTGTTGACTAGCCATTGTGCCAGCTGGCATCATTGTCTAAGGAAGTCAAGGGTGTTGTGACGGCTTGTGTAGGTTTAGCCAAGATTTCTTTATCCCTTATTTTCTTCCACTGTGTTGCTCGGTATTAGTTGAGCTTCCTGGATCTGTACGTCCTTGCTTTATAGCCACCGTTCGGTGCTTCTCATAGTTGTGCTCACTAGATTAGCTCTTTGTTGCTGTAACTGAATTCATAAAAGGCAAGAAACTCCGATCCCCTAAAACAAACCAAAAGCTTGGCCAGGGGCAAGGAAGAAAAAGTTGCACTCCTTGTAATTACAGGATGTTGATTCGATGATGGAGAAACAATATATTAATTTATTTGCTTGGGGTTTTTGATCTTGAAGGGAGCTTTGACTTGTTCTTCGTGGCTGGATTTTTTCCCCCTTCGTGAACAGTGTCTTTTTTTTTTTGGTTCTGTGTCTTTTTTTTTTGTTTATTATTTCAAATTTAGTTTAAACATCTCTCTCTCTCTAAATTTTGAATGAAGCTTAGTGCTTGATTATCTTTAGATATACTCTAATTTTCATTATTTTTTTGTTTTGTCCACTGGGTGTTAATTTGTAATTACTGAATCAATTTTTCCAGTTACGTGCAATGGACTAATTATATACTCATCCCTTTTTGTTTTATTTCTAGAAGAAGTTCACAAATAATGGAAATCAATAAAAAAAATACCAATGAAGAGTTTTTAATTTACCAATTCATTTTATATTTTAAATTCTAATTTTAAAAAAATTATAATTTCAAGTTTAATATTTTTTCCACAATATTAAATTAATCACCAAAATATATTCAAAAAATTTATGTCTATTTTTGTCATTATACATCTTAACTAGCTTTTAAATTAAATCATTTAAATAAATTTCAGTTTGTCCAATTGACTTAAAAAAAACTATCCAACATAAATTACATTATATTTATAAACTTTTCTCTTGACCTTAATTTGTTAACTTTATTTGAGTTCTAACTTAAATTATAAATTTTTTAATTTAAACACTCACTTTTATTTCCAACACCGTGAGATTGTACGAGCGAGAGAGGGATTGAGTTCGAGAGTAACTATTAAGCGTGAGAATTTTATTTCGATGTTGTTGAGCCCCAACAAATTTTGAGACTTTTAAAAATTAGGTGAATAATTTATGTGTTCTTTTTTTTCTCTCTCTGATTTTTTTTGGATTTGACAAGGATAAAAATGTAGAGTTGGATGGAAAATAAATTTGTTAAGTATTTTTAACTGATCGTTGAACTATCAAGAGAGCTAAAAAGTTCAGGCTGAGTGTCTATATGTATTGGTTTTGCCCAAATAATTGATCTTACGGATTTTAGAGTAGTTTTTAATATTCTAAGATATTTACAATTAATAATGATTTATTTGTGACCTAACAGGCTGGAAAACTTCTCTAAAATTTAAATTTATTTATAACTAAGTTGCATATAAAAATTAGAATTTAATATATGAATGTGAGATAAATTTAAAAAATATAATTTGAGTCTTTTAAAAAAATTGAATATAAGGAGTTTTTATTAAATTTGTATAAATAAAAATTGGACAAAATCTATGGAGATTAATTTAAGTTAAATGATAAAATAGTAAGAGATTAAATGGAAAACGTTGAGAAATGTTAGAATCAGCTTTGGATAAAATAAATTATTGACACTTATTAAATAATTATATTTATTATTGTTATTAATGATACTGGTATACTAGCATTTGTACTGGTGGTTCTTTGAAGGTTTCAGAATGTATATTTTTAATTTAAAAAGGAGGTAATAATAGTTTTTATTAAATTTATAGAAATAAAAAATGGACAAAATTTATGGAGATTAATTTAAGTTAAATGATAAAATAGTTAAGAGATTAAATGAAAAACATTGGGAAATGTTAGAATCAACTGTGGACAAAATAAATTATTGAGACTTATTAAATAATATAATAATAATAATAATAATAATAATAATTATCATCATCATTATTATTAATGATATTGGTATACTAGCATTTGTATGGGTAGTTCTTTGAAAGTTTCAAAATGTATAGTTTTAGTTTAAAAAAAGGTAATAATAGTTATTCTTTTTACAGTGGGAAGCTATTTTATATATGTACATGAACTGTGTTGGGAATACTCTGCCCCACTGTGTGCATATTTGATTGCTGAAAATTTATGTTATAAACTTAATAGCATGTTTATGTGATATTTGAGCTGTTATATAGTTATTTTATTCTTTTCAAATATGTTAGTTTTTGTTGAGTGATGATTGAATTGTGAGAATGATTTTTTATGATGGTTTAATTTTTTCAAGCATGTTTGGATGTTTTGAAAATTAAAAATAATATGATTTAAACTTTTTAAGAGCATGCACGTGTGTTTGAAATTATTTAAATATGATGCACTTATAGAGAGTATAAAAAAGAATATGGTTATAGTAGATGATTTGAAGACTTTGTTGTTGTTTTTGCCATATGATAACCCACTACTAAGTATCTGGTGATTG